ATGAAAAGAATGAAGTGATTGATGTTTCCCAATTGCAAACGCCGCAGAAGAGAAGGAATGTCAATAGCGAGACTGATTTTATTCCAAAGAATTGCGATTACCCGGCAAAGGGACAGTTAACTGAAAGTAAGAGGAAACTCCTTGATGAGTTTTGCAAGAAGAGAATGAACAGGTGTAATTTTGAACCACACATGCGATTTTCATAACTTTCATTTTATGTTGCGCTTCCTTTCATATTACATCTACTAACTTGTGTTTGTTTCATTTGTCATAGAGATGAGTATGTTTGGCAATCTGTTACCCGGTTAGATGTGTATCATCTTCTTATTGGAAGCGCAATTTCCGATAGTGTAAGTTCCCAATCTTTAATAGTTTTGTGCGTATTTCCATATTTTAGTTGTGATCATTCTATTATGAATAATTTTCAGTTAGTTGATGGTATGATAGAGAGATTTAAGATGAAGATTGAAACAGAAACATATTCAAAACACATACACATCACAGGATCATTCTTTGCTGTGAGTATTAGGAAAATTTACTATCATTTATATTATTTTTTGTTAAATGTTATGGTCATGTTTTAACAGAGAGCGTTACTAGAAGATAATCCCGGCCATTGGGCAAGACTACTCAAGGGTCGACAGCTTCCACGTGCACGCTTTGAAGATAGCGAGAAGATAATTTTTCCTATTCTTAGCAGTAGTCATTGGCATTTATTGGAATTGATTAAGGCTGAGAAAAAATTTTATCACTATTCCTCACTCACATACATTAAATATCTTAATGATGCCAAGATGTTCATGAACAATTTCTTAGCTTGCATAAAGGATGAATGGAAAATAAAAAATGTGGATGAGTATAGTATAGAAACCCGACAGGTTGCTCAACAGGATGGGTATGACTATAACTTAAAATGTATTAATGTGATTCATTTTCCTAACATATTATCATTTTATCATGTAATCATTGATTGCGGCATTTGTTTGTGCAGGAGCTTAGACTGCGGCATTTTCATGATGGGATACATATATTCCATCATCAACGACACACCACCATTCATTCAACAGGATGATTGTGAACTTCTGCGAGCAAAGATCGCTATTGCCTTTATCTCGGAGGAAGCAGAAAATCTGTTAGAAGATGCATTTACTCAGGATGAAGACTCTCAATATAAATGTCCTGGATGTTCTGAATGTTGAAGTTGAACATGAGCTTAGAGATTTGTACTTGGCAGATTCATTTTGCGTTCATTTTGTGTTAATTGTATACTTGGCAAATTGATTTTGTGTTGATTGTGTAGCTTAGATCTGTGCAGGAGCATAGGGAGTTGATTTTTGTAGTGGAATTGTGTATATGTTGTTTTATGCTATAATTGTGTTATTATTGTCAAAGTTCTGTGAATGTTGAAGTTGTACAGGAGCTTAGATCTGTGTTTTTGTCAAATTCGTGCGGTGTTGATTGGTTACTGCTCGTTTCAACTAGTTTTTACTTTTTAGTTGGTTACTGCTCGTTCGTAAAATTGATGCCAGTATTGATGTTCTTCGTGCGCCCTTTCCTGCTTTTCCTTTGTTGCATCCTCATCTAATGGTTTCCAGCTTCTCGATCGCCTGACAGCTAGAAATCAGAATTCGATTCAGCAAGGGGTTCATGCATGCCTAGTTAGGATGTTATGTCTTCTTGTTGGTTGCAATAAGGCCTTTTTAGCTGGTTGCTTTGCCAAGAAGTTGGTGATTTTGGTGCTGGGTTAGATGACCATTCCTCGAGATGCTTGGTATAGTCTTGGTGTGATAAATTTTTAGCTTATTTCTCTCTTTATACTCAGTATCTGTCATGTGTTCATAGTTCACTGTTTTCAGCCTGGTGTTCTCAAGTATGCTATTCTTTCAGGCTATTTTGTTAATTTTTCCAAATATGCCATTCATTCAAGCTATTTTGTTAATTTACAACAACTTATTAGCATTATAAATAAGAAGATAGGTTACGTTTTTCATAGCTTTTCATTATAAATTAGCATTTAAGGGGGAGAATTTAATATTAGCGGATAATACAGTTTTTTTCCCCGCGGCGAGAACACTCGGCGACCGACGCGTCGTCGTAATAGGCCGATCATCCGCCGCGTCGGCCGGTCCTCGACAAATTTCGAAGCTTCAGTCAAAGTATAGCACCTTATTGCAAAGTATAGCACCTTATGGCCAAAGTATAGCACCTTATGGCCAAAGTATAGCACCTTACGCTCTCTAGAAATTCTGAGCTCCGAGTCGTCGCGACCATTTTAGTTTTTTTTTGCGAGACTGTTTTCGCCAAAAGTCGAATTTGTTGTCGAATTCATTATATCTTCGGTCGATTACAATAAATTCCCTTATTGCAAAGTATAGCACCTTATGGCCAAAGTATAGCACCTTATTGCAAAGTATAGCACCTTATGGTCAAAGTATAGCACCTTATGGCCAAAGTATAGCACCTTACGGTCTCTGGAAATTCTGAGCTCCGAGTCGTCGCGACCATTTTAGTTTTTTTCCGCGCGACGAGAACTCTCGGCGACCGACGCGTCGTCGTAATAGGCCGATCATCCGCCGCGTCGGCCGGTCCTCGCCCAATTTCGAAGCTTCAGGCAAAGTATAGCACCTTATTGCAAAGTATAGCACCTTATGGCCAAAGTATAGCACCTTACGCTCTCTGGAAATTCTGAGCTCCGAGTCGTCGCGAACCATTTCAGTTTTTTTCCCCGCGGGAGAACACTCGGCGACCGACGCGTCGTCGTAATAGGCCGATCATCCGCCGCGTCGGCCGGTCCTCGCCCAATTTCGAAGCTTCAGGCAAAGTATAGCACCTTATTGCAAAGTATAGCACCTTATGGCCAAAGTATAGCACCTTATTTGCAAAGTATAGCACCTTACGCTCTCTGGAAATTCTGAGCTCCGAGTCGTCGCGAACTATTTCAGTTTTTTTCCCCGCGGCGAGAACACTCGGCGACCGACGCGTCGTCATAATAGGCCGATCGTCCGCCGCGTCGACCGGTCCTCGACCAATTTCGAAGCTTTAGTCAAAGTATAGCACCTTATTGCAAAGTATAGCACCTTATGGCCAAAGTATAGCACCTTATTACAAAG